AAGGTAGTACTTGAAGACGCCCACTTGGGCTGCTTGCTGTTACAAACAATCAGGAAAAGACAAATGCAGTTTTGGGGACAATTAAATAGACATAAAAGCCTTGAACGTTTAGCTCTCACTCGCAAACCTGAAGGGAAACGAGGCAGGGGTAGACCCAGAGCAACTTACTTGGAGATTCTAAGCAGATGGGTGATAGGGAAAAATCAGATCATGTAGCTTTTTTGAGAGCATCTGAGCAAAGGAATGAATAAAATGTATGTTTTATGTGATGTGGGCCAATGGCCTTAAACACTGAATAAAAACATCTACCTACCTATAGAGATGGGTGATGGGGATAAATTCAGGAATATGTAGCTTTTTCTTTTGGAACATCTGAGCAAAGAATTAATATAATGTGTGTGTTTTATGTAGTATGGGCCAATGGCCTCAGACGTTGAATAAAAACACCTACCTACTTATCTACCTACCTCTCTACCCATACACCGGGCCCCCACCCCTACACCAACCTTCCCCAGATGTACCTGGCAGTGCACCCATCATTGTGGAGAAACCGACCAATCAGACGGTGCGCCTGGGCTCGCGGGCGGTGTTTATGTGCAAGCCGGTGACCAGCCTGGGCACGGTACAGATGATGTGGGTCAAGCATCATTTTGTCAATGGGAGCTGGGGTCACGGCCCCCTGGATAAAGATGACCCACATTTGACAATACTCAGGGTACGTTGATGGTTGGCGGGTGTTCTGGTGTGGTTTGCTCCTTCTTTTCTGTGAAAGATCTTTCGTCCTTATCTCTTATCTCTCCTCCATCTTTTCTTTGTTTGTTACTCTCTAGCAATAATTATGTCTAATCTTTGCCTCTTATATTACCTTATTGTATTGTAAGTGCTGTAAAACTCTTATTAAAACATATCTTGCCTGGCAGGCACCCCCCCTGTCATTTTTCAAAGTGGAAGGAAGATGCTGTCTTTTAATGTTGAACTCTACTCAATGTTCTGACTATCTTCTCTTCCCCTTCTGTTTTATAATGCTTCTATTTGCGAATTTAAAAAAGTTTATATCTTCAAGCTCTGTGGTAAGTCTCTATCAATATCCTGCTCTAGTTTTTCTTGTTCTACTTTTACGTTCTTCTTCTCTCCACAGCCTTGGAACTCCCAGCATGCCCCACTGGTCATCAAGAAAGTCACGAAGGAGGACGAGGGCTGGTACACCTGTGCCCTCAAAAACAAAATTGGCATCACTTATGAGGCTGCTTATCTCAACGTTACCTTAGGTATGCTACTGGTGGCTTTTCCAGCTTCCTTGTGAAGCTTTTCTTTTTTAAATAAATGGATGATAAAAGTCTTTCTGTAGTAAAAGTCCAGGACATGGGTTTTTTAGCCCAGTGAATTTTAGCTGAGAGATGAGTGGTGAACTAGAATCACCAATGCCTGTTTTGAAACCTGTATTTAAAAGTTCCTCAAACAGTCATTTTGAATTCTTTACACCTGCTTATTTTATATACAAAATGTCCCTCAAACAATTATTTTGAATCATTTACACCTGCTTGTTTTATAAATATAAACTAAAAAAATACCTTAAGTGACTATCTGGGTGAAGATTCTGTAAATCTATAACAGTAAATTGGCTTGTATTTACATTGTGCAACTCAGTTCAAGTAGTGCAGAAGAAAACATACTTCTATATGTGTATAAAATATATGTTCTATATGGCTCTCTACATACATCCTCAGCTCCAAAGGAGAAGGCAAAAGACAGCTCTCTGGACCCATACATCTTCATCATCATCGGTTCCATCATCGGTTTTGTCATTCTCCTTATCGTCATCATCATCAGTGTCACCTGCTTCTGCTACAAGAAGAAGAAGCTGAAGATGAAGCAGTACCAGCTCTACCACAAACCTGTAAGATCTAGTTCCTCTTTCTCCTTGGTATGAGCTAGTTCCTCTTTCTCTCTAGCGTGGGGATGAGATAAGAACAGATAAGATATGAGGTATTTGTTATAATATTTTTGTCCCCCAAAACTTCTTTTCTTTTTGTTTCCGTTTGCTCGCATGTACATTTAGTGGAAGGAAACGTTTTTGATAATGATATATAACAGAACAGAGAAGAAAACAAAGTCTGTCGTTAAAAAATTCTGATTAATCTGTTTGTTTTGTCACGATGAGAGAGTTTATATTTCCATTCACTGAATTTAAACACTTCTGTACCTCCCTCTTTTCTTCCCCCATCTCTGTTTCGTCACGATGAGACTGTTTATATTTCCATTCACTGAATTTAAACACTTCTGTACCTCCCTCTTTTCTTCCCCCATCTCTGTTTTGTCACGATGAGAGAGTTTATATTTCCATTCACTGAATTTAAACTCTTCTGTACCTCCCTCTTTTCTTCCCCCATCTCTGTTTTGTCACGATGAGAGAGTTTATATTTCCATTCACTGAATTTAAACTCTTCTGTACCTCTCTCTTTTCTTCCCTCATCTCCCTTAACCTCACGACTTCTAGGATGGTCTAGCCACACAGCCACTGGTCAAGTCCCGTCGCATCTCGTCGCGGTCGTCCACCAGTAGCTACCCTTCTGTGGCCTCCAGCTCCTCACGGCTCAGTGTGCCAGTCGACGAAGCATTCGAGTTTCCTCGCAACAGGTTGGTTCTAAGTGGTCTGAAACTCTTGGTGCTGTGGAGCTAGGAGATAGGGTTTTTGGATATCTGAAGTCATGCCATGGCATCATTGGGCTTTAGTAGTAGTTTTTGTATTTGTTGTTCTTTAAACAATTCTCCCTAGATCTAAATTGTGCATCTTTTCTTGCTTTTTTTAAATGTTTAGAATTTCAATTTCAATAAAATATTTCTTGAGCATATGCAACTGATGTTACAGATTGAGAAACTACAACAATAGAAAAACGTTTTCGGAATTTTGGGCTTACCACATCCGACCGGCTGTGGCGACCAATGATAAGCTTCATAATTTGTTATGTTTTTTGTATGCTTCTTTGTCTAATGTGATTTGATTATGCAGTATACTTTAAAATTGTATTGTAAAAGGATTTTTGGAAAAGGACAAAGAGATATTGATTTCATTTCACCGAACCCAAAACCACGAATCATCTTAAACCTTTTTTTCTTATATTTCTTTTTAAGAAATATTCATTTCCTCAGAAACGTTGCTCATCGTCAGACAATTACATACAGTTAGTATAAAATTAAGGAGCTGCATTGAGTCTAACTGGTTTCTGTTGTTTGTGATGTATCATCTATCTAGACTGACTGTCCAGGAAACAATTGGAGAGGGAGCGTTTGGCATTGTGAAGAGGGCTATAGCGTACGGCATCGGTAGAGTTCCCAAAGCTACACAGGTCGCCGTGAAGAGTCTAAGAGGTAACATTTGTGGTGATGTTGTCTTAATTAAGAACATAATTGGTCATTAGTTTTACACCTCTTTACAACACTACAAAGTCATTTATTTGGTGGGAATTGTCTTAATTAAGAACATAATTAATAATTGGTTTTACACTTCTTCTCAACACTGCAAAGTTATTTATTAGGTGGGAAGTCTGAATTTATTGTCCCTCATATACCAGAATTATGTGTGGTGTGCTTTTAGTCTGCTGTGTCCTGTTTTGAGTCTTAAAAAGGCTGAGTGCACCCTAAAGTAATGAGTAGTTATATTGGGGTCTCACCTGAGCAAGGTAAAGGCCCAGGTTTTTAAAGGGATGAGTGTGTGTCTAAGTATGTGTTAACGACTAATAAAATGAGAATGTGAAGCACGGAGTATGTTTTCCGTTCACAACAGAGGACGTGACCTATCAGGACCAGTACGAGTTCATGAAAGAGGCGGAGGTGATGAAGTCAGTGAAGAGAATGGGCTCGCACATAAACATCGTCAACTTCCTGGGCTGTTGTACACAAGGAGGTAAGTGGAGACGAGATAAAATAATAATGAAAATGGTAGATTGTGTTTATATCCCTGTAGTGCAAAGTCCCGCTCAACAGCAAGCTTTATGCTTTTTACAAATGTCTATTTTTACTCTCGCAGACCTAATAGCATTCTGAAACAATCTCACCTTCTGTGGGGGGTGGGGGGGGGGGGGGGGGGGGGTCTAACTATAGTAGCTTCAGATACATAGACACACAGACACAGAGAGAGAGAGAGAGAGAGAGAGAGAGAGAGAGAGAGAGAGAGAGAGAGAGAGAGAGAGAGAGAGAGAGAGAGAGAGAGAGAGAGAGAGAGAGAGAGAGAGAGAGAGAGAGAGAGAGAGAGAGAGAGAGAGATTTTATGAACATTGCCAGAAAGATGACGGAACATTGTCACTCTATCATCTTCATGGTTGTTGATTTCGTCGTAATGTCTCTGTACAAAAATTCTAATCTCCACCACTTACGTCCTTTTCCTCTAGCTGGCCCTCTGTATGTGATAGTGGAGTATGCCAAAAAGGGAAACCTACGTAACTACCTGATGTCGTTCCGGAGCCAAGAGAACAGCCTGGTCACATGGAGGGAGGACCTGGAGCTGTGCATGTTGAGCAGTGGCAACACGCTAGACGGGAACTACGACAAAGACACGCTCTCCCAGCGCATGCTTCTTTCATTTAGCCACCAGGTGGCTCGCGGGATGGAGTTCCTGGCTTCTCATAAGGTAGGAGGGGAGAGGAGAGGAGAGGAGAGGGGTGGAGATAGGAGGGGGAGGAGAGGAGGGGAGGAGAGGAGATGAGAGGAGATGAGTAGAGAGGAGAGGAGAGGAGAGGGGTGGAAATAGGAGGGGAGTAGAGAAGAGGAGATAGGAGGGGAGGAGAGAAGAGGAGAAAGGAGAGTCGAGGAGATGAGAGAAGAAGAGAGGGGAGTAGAGGAGAGAAGAGAGGAGATGGGTCAGGATTTTATCAATCCTTCCTCCTTCTTTTCTTTGAATGTTTCTCTCCAGTAACGCCTAATTTCTGGCACCTTATACGTTGCTACAGTCTGTCAGTTTTGCTTTTTCCCAGCACTAATTGACCATTATCATAATATTTTAAAGTGTGTTTTTAAATGAAGAGAACAAGAACAGATCATACCTTTGTGGTTAGACTCTCGGACTGGCAACCATGTGGTCGTGGGTTCAAATCCCTTCAGGGGCCAGACTTTGTGTCCTTGAGAAAGACTTTTTATTTGAATTTTGCTCACTTCAATTAGGTGGGAATGTACCTGGCTTTGACAGTTTTCCATTCCCACCTGGGTGAAGTGAGGAAATTTCAAGTTAAGTGCCTTTCCCAAGGACGCAAGGTTGGGCCCCTGATGACATTTGAACCCACAAATTTTTGGTTGGGAGTTCGATGCTATATGTTTATATATATATATTATTAATTTGTTATAATTTCTCTTTCTCTTCCTTCTCAGTGCATCCACCGAGACCTGGCTGCTCGGAACATCCTGGTCACTGAGGACAATGTGCTGAAGATTGCAGACTTTGGTCTGGCCCGCAACGGGGAATACTACAAGAAGAAATCCAGGGTGAGTATTATAAAGTCCGATTTCAGAATTCTGCAGTCTGATTTCAGTATTTTAAAGTCAAGTTTTAGAATCAAATTGTCTGAATTGAGTATTTTCCATCTGATTTCAGTATTTTATAGTCTTATTAAAATTTGAGTATTAAACAGTTTGATTTCAGTATTAGTATTATCGAGTCTGAATTCAGTTTTATATAGTCTGATTTTAGTATAGCAAATGAGTCTCTCTTAATAATTTTTGTGCTGGAAGACATTAGTGCAGTCAATTGGATTCAAGAAGAAGAAGAAGAAGAAGAAGAAGAAGAAGAAGAAGAAGAACTAGAAAGACAAAAAGAAAAATGTAAACGTTTTGGTTTCAATATAATTGCCCTGCAAAGTACACTACACCATTTGATGTTTGTCATTGGTCAAAACAGCAAGCACAGATGAAACTTTAGTGGTCTGGTGACAAGAGATATAATGTTTTTGTGTTTTGTTTCAGGGTCAGATCCCCGTCAAGTGGATGCCTCCAGAGGCTTTGTTCGACATGAAATACACAGAGAAAAGTGACGTGTAAGTCTTTATCACACACACACACATACACACACACTCACGCACATAAATACACATACTCTTTTACATGCTAATGCACATCTATATACTCACATACTCTTATTGTAAGTCTCTGTCGTATGTCACTTTGAAAAGTAACGTATGATGAACATTGCCTATTTTGTTTTCTGGAAATCTCTCTTTTTTCTTCTCTCCCTCTCGCTGTCTCTCTCGCTCATTCCCCCTCCCTTCTCTCTCTTTCTCTCTCTCTCTCTCTCTCTCTCTCTCTCTCTCTCTCTCTCTCTCTCTCTCTCTCTCTCTCTAACAATCTGGTAGAAAAGTTTGGGATTTAAAAAAATATAGCCAGTTGGCCTCTCTTGTTTGTTCTATGGGCTTCTACTTTTGTAGTGACTCTAAAGTGCAAAATTTAGCATTGTAGTGGTGGAATATCTCTTATGTTGATTCTTACATCTGCTTTAGTTTTTTGTGTGTTGTTCCAATTTTAAAAAAATCAATTATGGGTCTTCATTCACAGATGGTCGTATGGTGTTCTGATGTGGGAGATCTTCACGTTGGGTGGCATGCCATATCCCACAATCCCTCAAGAAGATCTCTATGGCAAGCTTATGGAAGGCTATCGTATGGAAAAACCACCATTTGCAACAGACTCACTGTAAGTGGGAAACTGAAAATACTCTATAATCAGTATAAAAACCCAAAGAGTATCTTGAAAATTGGAATGTGGCTGCCTGAAGACAATGGGCCCTATTAAATTGAAAAAATGGTCTCATACATAAAATTCGGTTGGGCTGCAAGTTGAAAAACCAGAATTCGACTATCCTTGAGATCTAATAGGCGAATGCAAAAAAGAAGAAGAAGAATAAGTGGGAGAGTTTTCATTGCTTTCTTTCTGACATACTGACTGCTTAGTATAAGACTGTGCCATGGTATCATTTTGAAAAGTGATTTGTGACAGAGTCTTAATACTGAGCAGTCGATGCACTTTTTCTGGTGACAGTTTTTTGGCTAGCTTCATCATAGGAAGCTGATCAATTTTTTTTTACAAATATTGAAATATTGTGTATTATTGAAATGAACATTGTTTCAGTCAAATTAATTTCAATAAAATGTTTATGAAAATCAGTTACTATGTGGGGCTTTTTGTAGAGAAAATTTATTTGAGAAAGTGTTGATTCTGTTTTCTGAAAAATGTCTTGTTTTGTTCAAAGAGATATAATCCCAATGGGAGAAATGATATTGTAAGTGCCTGTAATGATGAATTATTGTCAGTGCTTATAATCATGAGTACACTCATTCTTCAACATGTATATATGTCAGATATGCACACTTTTGTTTATAAGACATTTAAGTCAATCCTACTGTTCTTACCACTGTGACTTAATGAGACCTGTGTAATGGTGAATCTCTCTCACCTTTCAGTTACGACACAATGAGACGCTGCTGGAACCACTACCCTGACGACAGACCAGACTTCAGTCTGCTTGTCCTGATCATGGAGAGACAGTTGGTGCGAGTCGCCAATGGGGTAAGTTGGCGGAAAAGCACACTTGATTTCTTTGCACCCCCACTCCCTCTGCTACTGTTTTTGTTTTTTAAGAGTTTTTTTAGGTGCAAATACACTCACATTATAGTTGTAAGTTTGTTGTAAGTTGGTCCATGTCCACTGGTATGAGGAAACATTTCATTGTTTGATTATTCAGAGCTTCCACAATATATGAAAGTTCTTTTGTCTTGAGGCATTTCAGTGAGTGTCAACTCTATCGATTGTCTTGCCTGTCTGTGTTTGCCTTAAGCAGTTTCAGCAAGCATCAACTTGTCAACAATTGTCTTGTCTGTCTGTGTTTGTCTTGGACAGTTTTAGTGAGCGTCAACTCTAACAGTTGTCTTGTATGACTGTTTTCGTCTTGAGCAGTTTTTCTGAGCATCTTCTCTAACAATTGTCTTGTGTGCCTGTATTTTTGGTGAGTGTCAACTCAAACGATTGTGTTGTTTGTCTGTGCAGGGTTACATTGAAGTGCTAGCTACAGACGAGTCTTAGGCTGGCGGAGCTGGGCCAGGCTGGACTCATGCACAAGAGCCTCTACAGACATACAGAGCGGCTTACCAGGCCTTGTAATGTTAATAATAATAATTATAATAATAATGATAATAATTATTATAATATTGTCACATATGTTTTTACTTAAGAGAACAGCCAGCCAGGGTTGTCATGTTACATTCCACTGAACAGTACCGTTGGTCAAATGTTGTAATAATGTTTCCTTACACTCAGTGCCTAAGCTTTACTAAACCGTTCATATTACACTTGGCTCCTAGAGTATCTATCACCTAATGTTGAGTAATACTAGGAGCTGAGAAAGTTGAACTAGGGAGATTTTAAATTTACGTTGCCATCCCCATTGGATTGTGGAGTCTGTCTGACTACAGGTGTCTAATTGTTCTGCAGCTACTCATTTCACTTTGATCCATACGGTGATCATGAGTAGAATACGTTTGAATAATGACGGATTATCTGTTTCACGGAAGTCCAATAGTCACATAATAGGTTGAGCATGGCACGTATAGCTGATTTTGTAAAGTGACGTGGATGAAATCATTTTCCTGGTAGGGAGGGACTCTGTCATACGTCACTTTTCAAAATGATGTATAGCAGAGTCTTTTCATTAAGCAGTGGATATTTTCCATGTTCTGTGTGGTAATGATAGGGAGAGACATTGAGAATGTACCTCCATCCGTGATGTTCCTACTCGACAAAATGCCTGTACCATACATAATCCTGCGGAACATACTTACTTGTTAAAGCTTTGTAAATATGTACAGGAAAACTTTTGTACTGAAATAATGACCAAGTGATTGATAATATCCTAATGTTTATCGCTTTAATCTATTACAGCTCATGTGCATATTATTTATGAAGTTTGAAGTGTCCTTGTGCTAGATACTATGCTGTAAGCATTCCTGAACATAGATAAAGTTCAGGAGGTAATCATGTTTTTTTTCCTGCTCCCTCTGCTCTTGATGGATCATAATGCTCGTCTGGTTTGTCTGCCAATGCGATCTAGAAGAAGATTCACTCATATTGAGTTTTGAGTGAACAATGTACTAATGAACTAACTTGAGAGGGGTATTTCTTTATAATCCAACACATTCACCAAAGAGTTTGAACCAATGTCGTTTTCAAAGTGAGCTCTTTTTTCTCAGGTCTTTACCGAGAGGTCTGTTGATTGCTTTCTGAGTAGTAGGTTGCTGAATGTTTTTGTCGCAAGGGCCTTCTCAGCCTGGGTTGGCCCGGACAGGCAGGGTCAAAGCCTGTTTTCGAAATGATCTAGTGTGTTGATGGAGGCTTAAAGCACCAATTTTTTTGTTTTTAAAAAGAAAAGGAACACATATCAAAATGTCTTTGTCTCTGTGGAGTTAGATTTGATGATTGAAACTTCTTTTATTTTGTAATTGAGACAAAAGTCAATTTCGGTTTGATACTGACTGAGGCAGTTTTTATTGAGCAAAACTCAAGCCTACCAGTTGTCTGACTGTCACTGATGTTCTCCCAGAAAGAAAAAAACTAAGGTGTTTGTGTGGTGTGTTAAACAGGTACTCGCTCACTTCTGCCCAAAAGTTGTCCCTGCATTTACTTCCCTGTGTTGTTGTGTTGAATCTACCATAGCTGTTCCTGCATCATTGTGTTCAATTTGTTATGACTACCTTTTGTTGTACTGCCTACATTTTTGTTTTACATTTTACAAATTTTGACAGAAGCTTTTCAACGGCTGCTTTTTTTTTTTTTACATTTGTATAATTTTGCTAAATGGTTTATATATTATATATATGTGTGTGTGTGTAACGTTGTTACCTTCTCAACATTCCAGGAAAAATTTATCTTTACTGTGGCTATGATTGATAAGGTTGCTGTTACATTTCATCATGGTTCCCTTATTTGCCCCCCACCCCCCACCAAACTGGAATCTTAAGAATGTTTTACTTGTAGGAAAGATAGCAGATGTTGATAAAAGTTGAGTTTTGGGAGTCGTACGTTAAGTGTAGCCAGCTCAGTCCTTGTGGACTTGGGTCTGGGAGGCAGGATAGGCTACCTGCTTACTGCTTGAGCTGGAGTTGGGAACTGAACTCATTTAATTTAATACAGTGTACAGTCAAAATTGTCCATGACAGCCACCCACTGTAAAGGAGAAAAGTGGTTGTCTTAAACAGGTAGATGTCTTGGACAGTATCATTATAATAGAAAGAGAAAAATACAAGGGGGGAAGTGGCAAGTGGCTGCTTGTGCAGATGTTTGTCTTGGATAGGTCGTGGCTATTACAGGAAATTCGACTGTAGTTCGTTGTCAATTGCTGTTGATACGTCGATATGTTACGTTGCGTTGTGAACTTTTCCCTTGTGGAGAGAGTCTGATGTACATTGTTCTGTACAAAAAAACCCTGGAAAATTTCCTATTATTATTATTATTATTATTACAGAGACTGTGTTCTTATTTTGTTGATTTACACCCCAGATACCGAATGTGTTCAATGTGTATCATACACAAGATGTGTTCATTCCTCTTGACCTTTTACCGGATGTCTCTAGTTTGAAGCTGTGTAACCATATGTATTTTTTGGTAGTTAGTTTTTATTATTCTGTTATCTATTTCTGGCACTTGTATGACCTATTTAAGTTGTAAGTGCCGTAAAACTTTTACTAATTTTAAAACAAACCGAACTAAGTTCTCTATTTCGGGCCATACTTCTGTGCAAGGAGACATGTTGACAACTGAGGTAGCAGACCAGAGCCTACAATTTTTCACATGCAGGATGAAAATCTCATTTTACAAGGAATATCTTAACCTTGATAATTCATCCTAGTTTCCTTTTTTTATATTTTCAAGCTCAAAAAGATAGACACTTTCTGGGATACAAAGGTCATATCAGTAGATTAATAGCTTTGTGTCTGTCAGAAATTGTGAAACTTATATGTATATATGAATTGTGACCTCAGGGCTTTCTTGTCCTATCTCCATAATAACAGTGAAAACAGTTTATAACAAAGGTGAGCTTAAGAAGAAGCCACATTTTTAATGTTAAAAAAAATGGAGATAGGACAAGAAAGCACTGATTGAGGTCGCGATATATTATATATGAGAGTGCATATATATATTATATTGCAGTGAAGTTGGAGAAATTCACAACAATACCCCCCTCCTCCCAAATATGTGGATATTACAACAAATGTGTCAACAGACTGATGTCAGGGTGCATGTAAATGAGATGATAGATAGTAAGTAGTAAAGTAGACCGTTCCCACTTTCACTTCCAGAGTCACCAGGCCAGACTGAGGCTCTGACATCACATTTTCATCATCAACATTCCCAGCTACTTTTGCTTCTAGGATGTGCTTGCCTTTTTTTGAAAAATACTTTTGTAATATATGACGTTGGCCAAACTTTTAAAATATTAAGTCCAAAATGTAGACTTTTTGAAATCAAAGTTTTTATCAATCTTCCATCTGCTGCATGTGCAGAAGAAATATATTGTTGAATTTCAGACTCTTAAAGTTGAAAAAAAAAGGCAAGAAAAGATAGATTATAATGTAGATAAACTTCCAATTGTTAAAAGAATAAATCAGTTTTTCTCTGTCTTCTAAAACAATTTTATTTCTGGGCTTAGAAGAGTCGAACAGCTTGCGTACGATTTTGTGCTTACAATTTACAGTTAGAATGTTGTAAAAACATGAACATGTGCTTGAATCATTATAAGTGGTCATGATAACTCTGTGCAGCATATTACAGGGCAGCAAAAAGTTCTGAGTGTTTTGTATGTTTGTGCGCCTTGCTCATTGTCAGAGCCTGTGCTTTCACTTAGCTCAAAATGTACTGTTGAAACGTTTTATATTCACATCGTTTAAAAAAAATACACAAGCAGCACAGAATACAGGTGTTGAAAATCAAGTAGGTCACATCCATGTGCTCACTTTCATAGCTGGAGACTTTGCTAGCCTCATTAAATCTGTAATTTTGCCATGTACAATAATATGTAAATTTTCTTCAAAACTACAATGGTTTTGAAATCTGTAGATCATTTTGGGAAATGATAAAATGTTCTATCAAATTTTACTACAAAGAGACTTCTTAGACAAGATATTTCATAAATATTGACGATGTCTCCTGAAAAATGATTAACTTTAATATTTTTTACTGACTCTGCAACAAGCTGGGTCTGATCTACTTATCTTTTATTTGACTGCGTAATTCTATTGTTTTGTTCTTTTCCTTCTGCACATGTCAGATTTAGATGCCAAAAGAAAGTGTAGAGAGATCAAGGACAAAACACACGGAAGGATATGATATTGTTAAGCTGGACCAGAGTGATAAGTATGCTTATGCTACAATACGAAACAAAATAGAAGAATTGTCTTGTTCTTTTATTTCTTATTTCCGATGAAGACTGTTCCTGTTTATAATGGATGTTTGCATACTATTATGTCAATCTTGTTCGTTCTCACAAGCTCATCAGATGGCGGTAATCTGATTGCCTCGAGTGTTTTCTATACAGTATGTATCTGCTAGATGTGGTGGTATTGATGATTGTACCAGAAGTGATATTGTACATAATATAGGAGATTATTCTTTGTATTTTGTATTCGAGCTTTGTACAGGAATTTGAATACATAGAACGAAGGAATGTTATTACGTTCCATTGGTTACCTGTACAGCAAAATATTTTGCCCCACTTATGTGCGGTATTGTTTGCATGTCAGAAGTTGTTGAAAAGCTTCCGGCAGATTGCTGTTTTATTATAGAAGTGTACCACTACCAGTGGTTTTGTGTGAATACTTAAAATTGTTGATTAAATTTTCAATCATTTTACGTCTAATGATTGAGTGGTGTAATGGATGTCGGGCACTGAGAGACTAAGGAAATGTGATACTGTGAACTGTGACTGATGCTACCGTGTGAACAATGTGTTGTCCTACCAGGAGCTTTGAATTTTAAGGGCATTAAACTAGTGTCTGTCTGTGGTGTAGTGGTTAGGCGCTTCCCTGTCGCACGTAGGAGACCCGAGTTTGACTCCCCGAGTGGGGAGGGTTTTTGTAGAGCATCTTGGTCTTTCTGTTGGGATGCTGTATGTATCCCTCTCAGCCTGGGTTAGCCCCATTAGGCAGGGTCAAAGCCTGCCTCCCAAATAATCTGAATTGTGTTGATGGGGATGTAAATTGTAAAAACACCTACACTGAGGGTGTTGATCTAGTTTACAACAGTACACTTGAATTTGAATCCATGTCATTTCTTTTTACTTGATTCTTAAACTTATTTATACCCCCATAGATATATACTTTTGGCCAAACCAAATAAGAAATAAAAGTTGTGGTTATTTTTCCTGTTTGCCTACTGTCGGCACAGTTATTACCTATGTGTCCCTTTTGTTTATGCCCCAAGAAGGCCTTGATGGATTTTAATTTTCCCTTTATAAAACAAACTATATTATCCCAGATGCACTGAACTGGTTCTCCGATAATTTTCAAAAATTTTTCATCTTTTCTGTGATGAACTGTTCTTGAAATTTTGAGATTTGTTTTCATTTTTTTGTACTGTGCCTGGTAGGTTGCCAATGCTATTTCTATTTTAGGTTATGTTACAAAACGAAGCGATCTGTGACAACTTTCATTTTTCAAATAGGTTGAGATTACATTCCACAAATTTTGCTACAAGCAGATACAGCTTGTGATACATTCCATATATATTTTAAGATTTTATACCTCCTTGTGCCTTCCTCTTCAATTGTTCTTTGCCCAGCTGTTCTCGTCTTGGTAGGCCTACATTCCATGTGACAGCGACAGATTGTCAAGATACTTTCTGATGGGCTCTGAGCACTTTGCTTTTCTGTACCAATTGTTTATATCTTGTTCATGTTAAAATAGTTAAATGTTATCATCATTTGTTTTCTTATCACTCACATAACATGCACACACTTGCATGGAAAAAGAGAGAGAGAAAGAGAGAGAGAGAGAGAGAGAGAGAGATTTTATGAACATTGCCAGAAAGATGATGGAACATTGTCACTTTCATCTTCATGGTTGTTGCCTTCATCTTAGTGTCTCTGTACAAAAATTCTAATCTCCACCACTTACGTCCTTTTCCTCTAGCTGGCCCTCTGTATGTGATAGTGGAGTACGCCAAAAAGGGAAACCTACGTAACTACCTGATGTCGTTCCGGAGCCAGGAGAACAGCCTGGTCACATGGAGGGAGGACCTGGAGCTGTGCATGTTGAGCAGTGGCAACACGCTAGACGGGAACTACGACAAAGACACGCTCTCGCAGCGCATGCTGCTCTCATTTAGCCACCAGGTGGCTCGCGGGATGGAGTTCCTGGCTTCTCATAAGGTAGGAGGGGAGAGGAGAGGAGAGGAGAGGGGTGGAGATAGGAGGGGGAGGAGAGGAGGGGAGGAGAGAAGATGAGAGGAGATGAGTAGAGAGGAGATGAGAGGAGTGGAGTGGAGAAGTGAGGAGAGGAGAGGAGTGGAGATAGGAGGGGAGCAGAGAAGAGGAGAAAGGAGAGTCGAGGAGATGATAGAAAAAGAGAGGGGAGGACAGGAGAGCAGAGGAGAGGACAGTAGAGGAGAGAAGAGAGGAGATGGGTCAGGATTTTATCAATCCTTCCTCCTTCTTTTCTTTGAATGTTTCTCTCCAGTAACGCCTAATTTCTGGCACCTTATATGTTGCTACAATCTGTCAGTTTTGCTTTTTCCCAGCACTAATTGACCATTATCATAATATTTTAAAGTGTGTTTTTAAATGAAGAGAACAAGAACAGATCATATCTTTGTGGTTAGACTCTTGGACTGGCAACCATGTGGTCGTGGGTTCAAATCCCTTCAGGGGCCAGACTTTGTGTCCTTGAGAAAGACTTTTTATTTGAATTTTGCTCACTTCAATTAGGTGGGAATGTACCTGGCTTTGACAGTTTTCCATTCCCACCTGGGTGAAGT